GCCGAAATTATGCGCAAAGCGAGGGACCGCGTGAACCTCGGGGAGGTAGGGGTTGGCAGTCTGCGCACGAGACGGGGCGCGACGGGTGCGCTGGTGTTGGAGGTCCCGGGCCCGGATGGTCACGCCAAGGCGGATGCGCTGGCGGTCCAGTTGGGGGAGGCGCTCAGAGATCAGGAGGGGGTAGTTGTAGCGCGCCTCCACAAGATGGCGGACATCCGGGTACGGGACCTGGAGGACTCAATCTCCCCGGAAGCGGTCGCGGCAAGGATTGCGGAGGCTGGAGAATGCGCGCAGACCCTCGTTAAGGTCGGGGTTATCCGCACGATCCGGGACGACCTGGGGTTGTGACCGAACTCGAAGCTTACCTGCGCCATTCGGTCCCCACGTCACTATTATACCACGGTCGCCACTCCCTTTTACCTCCAAAGGAGAAGGTCTCGTCCCTGAATACGTTTCGCTCCAGATTGTGTCCAATCCGGTCGTAACGGGCAATTTCCCCCCTTTGCACTTCGTACGCTACGCGATAGGTTGCGGAAATCGGTAACTTCCAGACTTGCAGGAATTCACGATAATTATTTATTGAACACACAATGGTTTAGTCTTTACACTGGTACGCAGATCGTGATTGCCCGCGATTTCACTCCCTGCGTGCGCTCCTTCTCGCGCTCTCGGCGTAATTCGCACCGCTCGTCTATGAAAAAATCACAACGATGTTCTTTCGCGTAGCGCCAGCCTCGGTTACTCACTCGCGATGCAACTTTACAATTTTAATTTTCTGTAAGCGCCTATCCGCCTAACTCGTCGAATAATTCGACGTATTCGCTCGTTGTCGGGAAGTCAGCCCCCGTTCGCTCTCGCATTCATCTTACGATCTTAAGTCGCACGGAACGGTCCCCGCTAAGTCGCGCTCAACCCCCGTTCACTCTCGCGCCTTAGGATTCGAAGTTGTCGCTTGGAACGGTCCCCACTAGCTCCCCTCTGACCTAAATACTTGGAGGTGAGTTCCCGTTCACTATCGCATTCGGTTCGCTTTATCCCGTCGCTCAGAACGGTCCCGCTGAAAACTCCTCGAGTCCGCTCGCGCTCCTTCCTTTATACACGCCCGCGATCCCCCTCCATGGCGCTCGCAGGTGCGTGTTCGCTTCGCGCGCTCTCAACGTTTACGACGCTAGTCGTGCTTATTCGCTACGTCGCTTTGTTCATTCCTTCCATTTTATAAGTATATAATTTTTTAATTTAATTTTCTCTTTATTTTCAGGCACCTCGCTTCGTTCCAGGGATTCGGCCGCTCATCGTCTCCCGCTGGAGTTACATGTAAGTTTATAATTCTCCTATTTACACGTTACTTTCCCTTCGCAGTTGTGTCTCCTCATCTATATACATTACATACACTATCTTATGCTATATCACCCTTGCTATTATATTATATCACCTGCTACTTTCCTTTTGGTAACCCGTTATATCCTTTCCTCTCTTCTCGACGCTCGCCTGCGTGCCCTCGCGCCCTACGAGAATGGCTATTCGCATCCTAATCAATCGCGATTCGCTTGGCCCCGCGACGAGATTTTTTTCGCCACCCGGTACATTGGGCAAGCTTAAGCTTGACAGTTAGGCTACTCTTCAGTCCCTGTTACCTATATCGGTCGCGCTTTCCGCTGTCGCCCTTTTCGGTGTCCCGCAACGGGATTTCGTAGACACCCGGTATGTTTTGGTGGCTGTCGCGTTTTGATCGCCCTATCTTTGCGTTTTCATGGCACATAGCGATTGCATTTTTTGATATTGCCAAATTTGATATCCCGTAACGGGATTTTACGGACACCCGGTATATTTGGCATGGTCATATTTGGCGGTCGCGCCGCTTTCTGGGTCCTATTAGACATAGCAGTCGCGTTTTTCGCTAACTTGAATTTTCATGCTCCGCGACGGAAATTCGGACACACCCGATATATGTGGTCAACTCGTATTCGGTTTGCCGTGTGCCTTTCGCGTTATATCCTGGCATAGCGGTCAGTTTTCTTGTTATTCCGAATTCTTGCATTACGCGACAGGATTTCGCGAACACCCGGTGTATTCCGTTCCCTCTAACTTCTCACTATTCTCGTACCGTAGGTAACTATAGCGGTTCGAATTTTTGATATTGCGTTTCCTTTTGTATTATTCGGTTATTTCGCGGACCCCCGGTATCTCTAATCCTTTTGAATTATTCGGTTATTTCTCGCGTCGCTGTCTGGACCACTCGCGATGCGGTTAACTTTAGCATTTCGATTTTTTCCAAACCATTGAGGCTAAGTATCTCAAATAAAACAAAAATGAACTTCCTTTTTATTGGCTTTAGATCTAGCCGTTTGTGGCGGGTTTCCGCGTTAACTTCAATGTTATTCTAACTTGTATTGACTAACTAAATTTTCTCCCGTAAATCGGGTTCCCCGCTCTTATTGCAGTCGTTATAACTTAAATCTATTGTTATTAAGTAACTCTCTTGAATAAGCATATATATTTTTATGTACCTTTATTATTTTGTGTCAAACGCAACTTCGTTCTCCTAAATAAACGCCGCCGCTTCGAGGTTTGCTCTCCCGTGTATCAGTGATGCCGGGGCCGAATGCGGGGTGGCAGGCGGAGTTTCACCTCCGGCTGCAGGGTCCACCTGGGCGCGTTGCCCGGTGGCCGCGGCTAAAAGGATCGCTGCGGAGGGACGATTAATTATTGGATGGACGCGATGCTGGGTGGAGATCCTTCCCCAGCGGCCACTTCAGTGCTTTCGCTGCCTGGGGATGGGCCACGTGAGGGCAGCGTGCCCTAGTATGGTGGACCGCAGCAACTGCTGCTATAGGTACGGGACCCCAGGCCACACGGTCCGTAACTGCGCGTCGTTGGAGGCGTGTTGCCCCCTCTACCGAGACGCTGGAGAGAAGGCCCTGGACCACCGCGCCGGGAGCGGTGTCTGTCCGCTCGCACGGAGGCGGGGTAGGCCGGTGGTCCCCACCGGGCGGGTCCCCTTACTGGTGCCGGGGACCGCCCCGGCCATCGAAGAGGAGAGTGCCCCCGCGTTTCACGGGGAGGAATGCACGGAGGTCGTCGCGGAGGAGACGCTGACGCCTCGTAATTAAATGAGGTCCGGCATCCTACAGGCGAATCTGGGCCGTGGCCACGGGACGCAGGACTTATTCCTGCATACCCTCGCGGAGCGCGGCCTAGAGTTGGGAATCGTGGCGGAGCCGTACCGGGTGCCCGAGGGATACCCGTGTTGGGCCTCGAACCGGGATGGCTCCGTCGCGATCGTCTGGTGGATGGCGGGCGGTAGGCAGCCCTCCTGCTGCGCGATCGCCGAGGAAGGGGCCTTCGTGACGGTGGAGCAGGGACCCGTTTGCGTGGTGGCCTGCTACCTCCCTCCGAGCTGAAAACTGGCGGAATACGAGGGCGCACTGGATGATATCGCCGGTGTGATACGCGGACAGCGCTCGAGCGTGGTGCTGGTGGCGGGTACTTCAACGCCTGGTCCGGTCGTTGGGGCTCCCCCCGAACGAACGCCAGGGGAACGCTCGTGGAGGAGTGGGCCGATGGGTTGGGGCTCTACTTCGCCAACGTCGGGAACACATTTACATTTGAGACCCGCCGGGGTGGCTCGATCGTCGACTTGACGTGGGCCACACCGGCGGTATCGCGGGGGATTCGGGGCTGGAGGGTGCTGGCCGATGAGTCCCTATCGGAACATCGGTACATTGCCTTCAGCCTTGGACCGGTTGGCGGGGCTGAGCCCGGTCCCCGTGAGCGGGGGTCCCGGCCCAAAGGATGGGTAGTGAGGAAAATGGACGTGGACCAATTCATGGTCCACGTAAGAACGAGCGGGGCCCTTTTTCTTGGTGAGCATGGGGGCGGAATAGGCGACGTGGACGGCGGGGCGGAGAGGCTACGCGATGTCATGTGGAGGGCATGCGATGCCTCGATCCCCCGTCGTCCCCCCCCGCCGGCCCGCAGGGCGGCGTACTGGTGGTCGGGGGAGATCGCGGCTTTGAAGCGGTCCTCCGACCGAGTCAGGCGCGCCTACCTTCGGGCCAGGGCGCGGGGTGGCTCGCAAGAGGAGGTCGAGTACCGCTATGCTTCCCTCCGAGCCGCACGGAGGGAGCTGCGGTACTCGATCACGGCGACCAAGGCGCGGGTCTGGGGGAAGCTCATCTCCCCCCTGGACAGGGACCCATGGGGGAGGCCCCGTGTAACGTATAAAATCGTTCTTAAACAGTTGAAGGCGGGCGGCCCCCCCATCGTGGAGACCCCCGGTTAGCGAGAGAGGTGGCCGCGAGCCGGGACATAGACATTCCGCCCTATGCCACCACCACGTTTGAGTGGGGGACGAGCTGGGGGTCACAGGGGAGGAGTGGGTTATAGCTGTGAATAGGCTGAAGGGACCCGCCAAGACACCGGGCCCTGACGGGATACCCGAGAGGGCCTGGGCCTTGGCCGCTGACGCGATGGGGGGGCACCTAAGGCGACTCTTCACGGAGTGCCTAGGGTGCGGTCACTTCCCACGGTCGTGGAAGTATGTCAAACTCGTCCTTCTGAGGAAGGAGGGCCGGCCTGCGGACTCTTCATCGGGCTACCGTCCCATTTGCCTACTAGACGAGGCGAGCAAATTGTTCGAGAGGGTAATCGCGGCCCGCATCGTCCGGCACCTTTCCCGGGAGGGGGGTAGAGGCCTATCGAACAGGCAGTACGGTTTCTGCGAAGGCCGCTCCACGGTCGACGCGATCGGTCGGGTGAGGGCCTTCGCGGGGGCCGCCGTTAGGGAGAGGAGGGTGGTGGTGGCGGTGTCACTCGACATCGTCAACGCCTTCAACATCCTCCCCTGGGGCCAGGTGAGGGAGTCGATGGAACACTTCCAGCTGTCCCCTTACCTGGTCGCCGTGGTAGAAGTTACTTCCGGGAGAGGAAGTTAGAATTCGTGGACAGGGACGGTAGGACTTGCGGAGTGGCGGTGTCGTGTGGGGTCCCGCAGGGGTCCGTTTTGAGTCCCCTGCTTTGGGACCTAGCGTACGACGTCGTCCTCCGTACCACTCTCCCGCCGGGAGCCGAGTTGGTGTGCTACGCCGACGACACCCTGCTGCTCGCGGCGGGGGGGGGTTGGACGATTGGGGGAAGACGGTGGGGGCCGCGAGTCGCGCGACCACGCATGTCGTGGGTTCCATCACGGACCTAGGCCTGGGGTGGCCCCCCGGAAGACAGAATGTATTTTCTTTCGTAACGGGAGGTGTGGGGTGCCTCCTCCGGCCTGAGTCCTCGTGGAGACGGTTCAGGTCCGGGTGACCCCAACGAACCGATATCTGGGGCTCACCCTAGACGGCCGCTGGGACTTCGTTGCGCACTTCACCGCGCTGTCCCCCAGGGTGGGTGGAATGGCGGATTCGCTCACCCGCCTGATGCCCAACCTGGGTGATCCGGGTAACTCCGTGCGCAGGATGTACGCGGGCGCCGTCATGGCATGTTTAATGTATGGCGCCCCGATATGGGCGGGGGAGGTGGGGAGAAGGGCTGAAGTGAGGAGGGCGCTGCACTCCGTGCAGCAAAAGCTCGCTCTCCGCCTCGCGCGCGCGTACAGGACGGTGTCTCTCGTGGCGACCACGGCGGGAATCCTCCCGGCCGACCTGGCGGCTGAAGTAAGGAGGCGGACGTACGACCGGGTTCGTGCGATAAGGGGCAGGGGAGTCGCCCCCCCCCCCTTTTTCTTTTATAACGCTGAGGAAATGCGTTACGCATAGCTGGGTACTTCGGGGGAAGTGATCCGGGTTATGTGGGTCTCTCCCCCGACCTAAACCACAGGTCGGGGGCCTACCCACGAAAACCCCAGCGGGTGTCCTACTCAGGCATTAATGAGGGGCTTCCAGGAACGCGTGCAGCATAACTTCTGGGAGCCCCTCTGCCTGCCGGCCTGTTGGCCGGTTCTAACCTCTCCCGGACCTTGCAACCGCCCGCAATTTTTCAGAGTCCGGCAAATAATAAAAACCGGACACAATTAATTCCTACAGGATACGGAAAACATTACACCAAGTCAAACGCCAACAGCGGCAGCGAGGAAGATACTACCTGACACAATCCTCGAAATATCAGCGGAACACCAAGGCGAGACCAGCAATCCAGTAACAGCGTCAGAAACGCAAGACAACCCGCAACCCAAATGACGAAGTCAAGCGGAATGAATTATTTATTATTTGATTATTTTATTATATGTTAGAGACTATTTCAGTATTATTTTATATATATAAGGTCGAGCCGAACACAAGATGCGAAAAGCAAAAAGATATAATTAACGCTGATTATTTTATTATTTTTTATCATTTTATTATTCACTAGACCAAAAGGTCAAATTTATTTACTATTCACATAACGTTCACATTACTAAAGTATTAATTACACTCATATACAATTATTTCAATAAAGATTTATACGTTTCATAATTATTTTAATAAAGAATCAACCTACCTAAATATCCTACATAACACAACCGCCGAAGGCGATCCAATCCAATCCAGTGTGTTAACCTAAAAATAAATAAAGATAAATTAAAAAAGAACATGTTAAAATAAAGATAGAATAAAAGAAATAAAAGATACTTACCTACAACTTACCCTGTGATGGATTTGGTGACCCTGAAAAAGAAAAAGATTAATAACATACGCCCAAGAGCGATCCTATACGAAAAAGGTTAGTAAACCATGTTATTCTAATTATTTTGTCAAAAAGGCATGTCAGCCGAATTATTTTACTTGTTTTAGAATTATTTTACAAGTCTTGAATTAATTGGAACACATCTCCTTAGTTAGAGAGAGAACACATAATTATTGCACTAGAAAGACAAGGACAGAATGTCAAAATGATTTAAACTCAAAAACCTGATTAAAAAACCATTTAATTAATTATTCCATGTTGTTTCGTAATTATTTACAGTCAGAGAGAATTATTTAGAGTCAAAATTAATTATTTAAAATATTTCCATAAAGAAGTTCCAATTAAAGCAAGATAGCATTAAGGTGCACATATAGCATCGCAAAGGACCTAAACCTTTATATGCGAGATTATTTCAGTCAATATATCATATACAAGTCATTTCGGAATTATCCTAGGCATAACTAGCCATTTACTAATTATTTATAAACATTTGGAATTATTCAGATGCATTTAAGCACTATTCACAACACTACTGAATTATTTAAGGTGTAACCACACTCGCATATAAAAAGATTTTGTTAATTCCACATTTATTTGAATTATTTCGGAAAAAAGATTAATTATTTGATAAAAAACTAATTATTTAGAGGCACTATGAATTATTTGACAATTATTTAACGATGTAAGAATTATTTCCTAACACCTGATTGGTTGCCGAAATCATCCAACTTAAATATTTAATTATTCGCATAAATAATTGTTAAAAAGCGAAAGTCCATTAAGATTTTATGTTCAGGAAGTTAATTCCTAATTATTTGAATTATTAATAACCTTGTAAGGCCAGTGCGAGTGTATAACTAGAAAAGAACTAAAATCGGGAACACCGAACCAACCAGGGGAAACAGTACGCACCCTTTCTTCCTGGCCATCTTGGCAGTGAAGCCAGCCATTTTGAAAATCAGTCACGAACAGACAGCCGAACGGGACGGACGTCTTAACGAACGCGGCTCACAAAGAAATTGCGTAATTCGGTAAATCGGTACAAAACGGGTATCTAGTCATACCGTATCGTGTCCGAACGCTAAGAGAACAACGCGAAACGCGAATTAGTGCGGAAAATCGCGAAATACGGAGAGAATTCCGGTAAATACGAAAAGTCACGTAAACCGACGGAAATACGTCGTAAATCGTTTCAAAACGATAATAGCTCGTCTCCCGTAATACAAACGCGTACGGTAAGCGCGAATTTAACGAGCATTTAATACGGAAAATTGTTGCTAAGTGGATGATGCAACATCGCGTCATCTCATAGAGCGGCCATCTTGAACACGCGACAAAGGATCGTGAGTGCGACGCGACGCGACAACGTAATATAGTTAGAAAGAGCGAGAGAGTGTCGAATAACGTAGAAATACGCGAGTGAATGAGAGAGTGAATGCGAAGGCCTAATTAATTAATTATAAGTATTGTGTTTAATAAATTCTATAATAGTGTTACACAAACGGCCTCTTCCAAGTTATTTGCGAAGTTTTACCACTCCTCACATTAAATATAAGCAATCACCGCGACGTAGCGAGACATCAATCGAAGACACGAGGACCTCTGCTCAACGGCCAATCACCGCGAAGGACGGAAGGAAGGCAACCAATGAGGGACTTCCGACGAGACAAAGGCCGATACCTTGGGACAACCGAGACGATTACCTTCTCTGTGGGAGGATAAACAGAGTGGCGACCAAAATAGTAAGTCACCTTTGGTGCATTTGAATTAATTAATTAATTAAATAAATAAATACACGGATATTTTAAGAATAACGGCATTAATCCGGTCACAACCTAAACCTAAACTGGTTAGATCCGGGAGTGCGCAGTCTGCCCTATACGGGCGTGGTGAGGGACACCGCTCTCCACGCCCCGCCCCCTCGGTGGGTAACCCCCTCCCGCCAGGTCTTTACCTCTCTAATGAGAGACCACGATCTGGCGGGAAATCTCGGTTGTGCCCTGGATTCGGCGCGGCAGGCAAGCCCACCGCGTTGACTATCCGGGGCATTCCCACGAGGCCCGTGAAGGGGGTGGCGAGAACATACTGAGCCGCTATTTGGCTCACGTCTCGCCCCCCCATGGCGTCACTGTCTTGCGACGCCATAGGCCCCCTGTGAAGAGGGAACGTCACGGGCCTCCGACCCCGTGACGAGAGGCGCGGCCGCCGCCCCATCCCTCATGTTGAGGGGCGCGGCGGCAGCCGCACCCCCCGGTTTAGCCCTAGTGCGGGTCGCAGGGCCGATGTATTTCTAATTCATATCCACTATGTCTGTTTAGATGTATTGAAAATATAAAATGCACATGCAATTCCAATACATCTAAACAGACATAGTGAATATGAATTAAAAATACATTTTATGTTTTGTAATGTGTGTACATAATAATGCACATAAAACATAATTTTAATATTCACTCACGTGTCTCTATATTATAATGTGTGTCTGTATATGTATGTATATATACTTATATTTATTATTTATATATATAGAAGTATATCTATACATACAGGCACACATTATAATACTCATAAAATTATAATATTTTGTGTTAATATGCCTGCGTGAATATCTGAGCATGAAAAACTTGTATCTTTTTTGTTACACGTAACAAAAAGAGATGAAGTAGCTATACATGTATGTGGATAAGAATTAGAAATATATTTTATGTTTTGTAATGCGTGTACATCATATTGCACATAAAATATAATTCTAATATTCACTAATATGTCTATGTTATATCTGAATATATAAATATGAGTAACTTCTATATCTTTCATTAGACGTAATAAAAAGAGATGGAATAGCTACATATGTATATGTGATGTATCTATGAGTTGACAATACACGTTACATCCTAAATTAAAATGGCATTGGGAACGAAGGAAAAAGTGCTATTACATTACACGTGTATAAATGTATTTCAAATACATGTTTGCATCCGAAGATATATTTATGTCACAATTAGAGTGTTCACTTAGCAAAAATACTTATTGTAACTTGCTGTTAGTCAATGTATGCATTGACCAATAAGTGTTTACTAAAACACTTTGAATATGATATATGGTACTTATACATTTCATAGACGTACAGCGAAAATTATGCATATGGCTATTGACCATGTAATGTATGTTATATATATAATATACAGGGTGTCCCATTTTAAATTACGCACCTGAATATCTCGTCAGAGGAACCATCAATTCGAAAATAACCCTTACAAAAGTTGTTCGGAGGGGGACATCGGATGGTGGCCTTCAATTTCAACTTGACCTTGACCTTCAAGGTCATTTGAAGGTGAAATCGAATTTTTTAAATAGAAACCCCTATTTTTGACCCCGGATTCGGAAAGAGCGCAAAATTTTACGTTTAAATGGGTACTTGAGGCTCTTCTTTGGAATGACCTTCAGAGGTTATTTCAAGGACAAAATATTTGAAATTACGTACTTGAATACATATCTTGTCGAGGAACACACCTGTGAACAAAACTGAAGTTTCACATTCGTTTTTTTTAGTAGCACGGAATTAGTTAGAGGGTACAGTTGTTCAAATCTTATTACCGTGCGTTTTTTAAGACAATTTTTTTTCCTAAACGTTATTGGCATAAAAAAATTAATGTAATTGTGGAGAACGTGCCGGAGCCTGTTCTCATTACAAAACTGTGGTTCTTTGTGCTGTGCGGTTGCGTTAAAATTGTTTTCTTTGTCGATGTTTAGTGCTATCAGCGTGTATTTCATGATAAATTGTTGTAATGGGATACATATCTTAAATTGTAAAACTTCAAGTGCTACTATGTTAATACGGGCTGCGCTTTTTTTCTTGTTGAATAAAACGTTCATTTTTTTCTACTAAATATGCCAGTCTACACACGAAATGAGATTGTTGACATTCTCGTGATCCTTGGCGAGTGTCGTGGTAATTACCGAGCTGCAGCACGATTGTATCGTGAGCGCTTCCCAGGCAGAGATCATCCCAAATGACAGCGATTGCATTCATCGAAAGGCGCGAGAGACGGCAACATGCTGTAAGGCGACGTCATCGTATTATGGTAATTGAACGAGACGATCCACGATTTCTTTCCGTGTTGGCTATGGTTGCTATTAACCCGCATATTTCGCTTCGAGAAATTGAGGCTGAATTAGGAATTCCAAGATCAACGACTCAAAGAATTCTACAGCTCCATAGATTCCACCTTTACCATATTACTTTAACCCAAGAATTGACTGCTCGTGACTTCCAGCGAAAATTAGAATTTTGTAATTGGGCTCAAGCAATGTTACGTCGGGATCCAGATTTCTTTAGGTACGTTATGTTCTCCGATGAAGCTAAATTTCACAACACAGGACAGCTAAACCGACATAATTGTCATTATAGGTCTGCAGAAAATCCACACTGGTCTCGTACGATCGACCATAAAAATCGCTGGAGTCTTATTGTATGGTGTGGAATTGTGAATGGATTTTTGATTGGGCCATA